CACTTTGGATCGGGGAAGGAGCTGCATATGCAGGATTCAGTTGTACTCTCCGGCGGGACATCCACCATCAACATAAAATCACCGGATTTCCGAGCTGTAGCTGCCAGCTCGTGAGCTATTTTGTTTTGAGAGCAAGTGGGAGAAATGAGAGAGCAAGTGTCTTGCATCGGCAAGCACTGCATGGCAAGCCGATCTGCACATCTCCTCGTACTGCAGACTGCGCCCAATCCCTGCACTGTCAGTCTCAAGGATCATCTGGCCATTTTTTTGCAAGTTCAATTGGACCCATAATAGCAAGTGCACCTTCCGCCTCTTCCACTGAACTGCAACGGTCGAGCCTCCAGCTGCCAACAGACATGAAAACATGCCCTTTTTGAACCCTTGCGACAGCACCTCCCCAAGTTTGCCCCGGGAAAATATCCGATGGAGTTTAGGCTCATGGACACCCCCTTATCTAGCCATTCAATTCTGCATCGCGATTCGTGCAAATACTTTTCTCTTTTTCGTTTCTCTCATATAGTTTAACATATGAACTTCATACTTTTTCAGCACAACAGAACATTCTTACTAGAATGTGGGAAAAATACTTTCAGATTTTTTCGCGCATCATAAATAATAGAAATAAGATTTTTAATTAAAAAAAAATCTCATTTTCTATATTTTTCTTGTTGTTTTGTTTTGTTTTGTTTTGTTTTGTTTTGAAGAAACAAAAAAGAGAAAGTTTTCATGTAGTAAGTTGGTTGTATAGTACGGATCTCAAAGCAACATTAGATGGTGAGGATAGGAGATGTCCAGGAGCCCGTGCTCTAAAAATCCGCGTCCGTTTGCCCCGATTCCTCTTTGTTTTACCAGGTGGGGGAGTAACCCAGTGATTAGTGGCAGGACGGGTGCGTACGCAGAGTCTGACCGGGAACAACGACAATTTGTTTTGGTCGTTTGCATCGACAGGATCAAAAGCAGCCGACTAATCTCATCATACAGTCTAATCGGATATCGAACTGATCCCGAAACAGTATCCTTCCTGTCACCGTGTATGACGTTATTTCCCAAACTCCATGCCTGCCAGAGGATCAGCATTGTTTTAGCCCTGGTTTCCTCTGAATGTGCGAGCCGCAGCTGTTGCAGCCAACCCATGCCCGTATATTTGAACTCTGCTTCTTTGGGGATCACCCAAAAGGCCCTCATGGAATGTTGTAGCGCCACACTCCTAGTGCATGTGACAATAGCATGGTATTCATCCTCTTTTCCAGCTCCACAAATTTCACAAACATTGTCCCCCGTAATGGTCCTTTGAATGTATTGCATTTAGTAGCCAGAGAATTTGTAGCCACTCTCCAACCAAAAACCTTTACCTTCTCTGGGAATTTTGCCTTCCAAATGGCATTCCAAATGCTTCGGTCGCCCGGGTCTCTCGAGGAGCTGGTTCCTTTTTCCATTCCCTTCCTTTTGAGCGAATCTGCAAGTTTGTAGACCGTAAAGATTCCATTTTTTTCGTAGTGCCATGCTATACAGTCCTCAACTCCTTCTCTCGGGTTTTTTAGTTTGCAAATCTCATCCGCGTTGAAGGCATGGAAAATTAGCTTCACTAGTTCCACCTTCTATTGCTTTGTTTCCGGATCAATCAGCTGGTTAACCCATCGAAGTCTAGATCTCGTAATAAAGGAGGCAACTTTCAACCCTTCTTTCCTAGGGATCCATTGATGTCTCGTGATCTGGATACTAGTGCCATCCCCAATTCACCAAATTAGACTTTTTTTCAACAGTCCAGTCCAAACTCAACCCCCCTCCATGCCAGAGAGGCGTTTGAAGCAAAAACAGTGTCCAGAAGATTGCCATTTGGATAATATTTGGATTTTAGCACCCTGGCACAAAGGCTATCAGACTTATGTAGCAAGATGCAGCCTTGCCTAGCAAGGAGAGCCTGATTAAACAACTGCATATCCCGGAAGCCGATACCTCGATCGCATTTTGGTTTTGTCATGTTCACCCACAACATCCAGTGAACCATTTGTTTCTCTTCATTGTCACCCCACCAGAAGTCTTTAATGACTTTCTCATAGTTGTCGCATAAGCTCTGATTTAGTTTTAAAAAAACCATGGCATATGTTGGTAGAGATTGTGCCACTGCCTTGACGTTTACCTCCTTCACTGCTTGGGACATGAACATCTCATTCCAGTTATTGCATCTTTTATCGAATCTCTCCATACTCGGTTGGAAGTTACCGTTCTTCATTCTCCCCTCCTGGGTTGGAAGA